GAAATTTAAACCACTTAGAAACCAAACAAACAAAAAAGCTTTATCGGAAAATATAATAGAAAACTACCAACTTCCATCAACAGAATCTCACAGTGGAAATAATACCTTTACTGGGATCCCTTTCCTTTCTCTTAACACACGAACCAAATCCACAACAGAACGCATGGCAGACACCCTTCTTTCAACAACTTCGTCAATCAAATCGGTTCTAAAATATTATATTTGGAGAAGAAAAGTGGAACAAAGAATGATAGAAATAATCTAACCTTGGTTCTGGTATCCTCTCAAAATGAACCGAGTCGGCACCGTTAGGTACTATATACCGAAGGTTCTGCCAAAGTAAGTCACAGAAAAATGGAGTGAAAGGAGCCATTAAACGTACAGTGAGTAAAAGTACACTTCCTAACGTTGTAAGAGACTTCAAAGAATCCTCTTCTCCATCGCCACCCTTAAATAAAAACACAGTAAAATTGTTAAAAGAAACCCAATAAAAATTATTAATACGCCTAAACAAGGCATTATTTAGAAAGAACGAAAGTCGCGTTAAGAGCTATTCGATCAGTATCGTAAAAGTAGGCCTCAAAATTCACAGACCTTCATTCGCCTTCTGTTCAGCCTAATGTAGCAATTCGTTAGCGTGTCAAAAAATTTGGTTAGTGGTCCGACCACAGCATACAAACAATAGTTCGTCATTTCTTTCCTCACAAATCTAACTAAGCTATGAGTGAAAGACACTATCCAATGGTCCATCAAGTTGTCAGATTCTTGGTCCAGCAGTGCAAAAACTTTCCTGCTTTCCTAAACAACGTTTTCAAATAAAACTCAATAAAGAAGGATAGAAATAAAGAAATTAGCTGCGACTCTTTTAAGAAAATAAAGATTTCTAAAAATCGTAACGACTGTAAACAAACTGCTTCACATAAACAATCAGTTTTTGCACAAAGCAGCAAGAAAAAAAAAATTTTCCAGCATAAAACCTGATGAGATTCTGACAAGTGAAAATAAAAGTGCAAATTGTTACTACAAATTTTTCATTTGTTAATAATACAAGTAACTTTCTTAAAAAGTTATAAGTTACATGTTCATAAGCCTGGACGTTCTGTACGAAGAATCTATAAGCATTATACCACGGCAGAAATACATCCTTCAATACATCTTTTACACCTTCCTCTCTAAAGCGTAGAGCCTCTCCTCTGACAGCAGGCGAATTTACTAAATAAACTCGTAAAGCATCCGCCCCATACTTTTCGATAATCTAAAATAGCAAAAGCGATCTTTGATTCTAATTAATATCCAGTAATAATATGAGTAAAATACTAGACAGACAAGCAACAGTGTAAATTTAGAGGTAAACTTAAAAAAAAAAAAAGAAAATCCAAAAAAATGGAAAACTAAAG